GGTGCGGGAGCTGGAGAACGAGCTGGAGGCCGAGCAGAAGCGCAACGTGGAGTCCGTCAAGGGCATGAGGAAGAGCGAGCGGCGCATCAAGGAGCTCACCTACCAGGTGCGGCTGGTGGATGCTCCGGCCCGGCCATCAGAAGTCGAAGGCCCACCCTAGCCCCACCTCCTGGCCCCAACAGACCCCGTGCTGAACCACCACCCAGGAAATGCCCCCGGCCCTCCTGGCACCTGCTCCTTGAGAAGCTGTCTTTAGATTAACTTTCTGTCACACACTCCAGAGTCAGTTTGCTTTAAGTCCATGAATCTTTCCAGTGAATGCAGGAAAATCTACTTTCTGAAAGCACTTTTAACTAGAATTCCCCCAGATTTTTTAATAACATGAAGGTCTACCATAAAGGCTTCAGAATAGTCCAAGAAATCTTTGCACCTTCGACTGGCCTGATCGGGAGGGACATTGGGTGGCACGTTAGGATTACAAGTCAGGGACAAGAAAAAAACTCAGATCTTCCATGGGACTTCTGGGACAACAGATAAAAGGCCTTAGAGAAAGAAGATGTCAAAATGTTCTAGGACCTCCATCTGCATAGTGCAGAACTTTTGCCTCATTATTTTCACAGTGTGCTGGTGATAAAAGACAGAGAAAGGGGTATTGGTCCATTTGACAAATGGATATGAGGCACAGGAAAAAGATACAGATGTAGAACTGCAGGCATATTGTCAGCCTAGGAAATGTCAGCCCAGCACATACAATCAATCATGTGGAGATAGGAAGGATCAAGTGATCCCTGGAGTCAGTGATCCTGGTGCCCAAAATATGGCCCAGTATAGTGTATTAGAATATTGGGTTATGATAAGATTGGAATGATCTGAACTATGATACCCCTTTCTTTCTGCATTCCTCATTATTCCTTTCTTATTACTCTAGAACCACTAGCCAAGAACATTATGGTGAAACTGATAAGTTGGAGCTGGAACAGCCCAATGTCTCCCTATTTTTAGATGATGGAGTTCCATTTGGTTCTGAGCCCCTCCCCCCACTTCCAGCTTTAAGGCATCAGCTCTCATTGTTTTTTAAATCCCTGACCGAGGACTTTGCCTTGGCCCTTTGATCTACAAATACAGTCAGAGATGGATTCTTTCCATCACCTCTTTAACTTGGCCCATTCCACCTCTTTAACCTGGCCCATTCGAGGGAGGGGTAGCTAAGGCATGGGGAGAGGAGTGGAGTGGAGGGAAAGATGACTGTATTTGCTCCTCCCCCAAACATGACTTCTCCCTTCCATCCACCCCCAGACGGAAGAGGACAAGAAGAACCTGCTGCGGTTGCAGGACCTGGTGGACAAGCTGCAGCTGAAGGTCAAGGCCTACAAGCGCCAGGCTGAGGAGGCAGTGAGTTCATGGTTTTCTCTACTCTAATGAGCACACCTCTTGTGTGTTCGAAGCAATGGTGTTCACCCCAGCATGGGGCCTGGACCATGGGTTTGCTATCCACTTTAACTTTTAGACATTTGTTACACGTGTCCGGTGTGCTTAGCATTGTTTCAGGCACTCTGAGTTAACAAAAGCAATGCTTGTTTGACCCAGGACTTGCCCACGAGCCGCTTATAATTCATATCCCAGTAAGCCCAAGAGAAGCTAGTGTAGCTGCTAACGTAGGTCAGGGGCCAGACAGTGTGAAAGGGCTGGAAGGTGGCAGTGAAATCGAGCCCGGGAGGAAACTGACCGGGCATGGTGCAGGGGGAGACATCTGGGTGGGCAGAGAAGCGTGGATGTGAGGTGTTGCTGAGCCCTCCTGTGCAGGAAACCGCAGGTCAGGGAGCACCTATCCGATTCACAGCTGCACGGGTGCAGTGAAGCTGGATTGAGTGGGGCTGGGCCAGGCAGCATGGAATTCCTCTTGGACAGTGGGTGGCCATGAAGGATTCTGAGTGCTGGATAAGTCTGAGGAGGGTGCCGAGCCAGGAGTAGGACGCCCTTGGCAAGGCTGTTGCAGGGACATGAGTGAGGGGTGAGAACACTGAACCCAGCCAAGGACGAGGAGGCTGGGAATCCCCACCTCTCCACCCTCTCTCACCACATCCTCCCACTCCTGCAGGAGGAGCAGGCCAACACCAACCTGTCCAAGTTCCGCAAGGTGCAGCACGAACTGGATGAGGCAGAGGAGCGGGCGGACATCGCCGAGTCCCAGGTCAACAAGCTGCGGGCCAAGAGCCGTGACATCGGCACCAAGGTGGGTCCCTTCTCCAGGCCTGGCTAGTCACCCCACAGCAGCTTCCCCCCAACATCTGTGGCCCCTCTGAATGGGCACTTCTTACCCTATACTTGGATAGCTCAAGAGTCCCATAGCACCCATCCCTGAGAACTCCCCTCCTGCTCAGAGCACCCCTGCAGACTGGAACTTCTACAGAACCCCAGTTCCTTGGAGTTCCATTTAGGGGTCCTAAACCACAAAAAGACCCCTAAATGGAATCCCAAGACCCTGGGGCCTGAACCTCTCCCTCTAAGGGTATCTCCCTTAGGTCCATGAAAGCCTGAGATTCCTCCCCACAGCCTTCCTCCCTTTTGCCAGCTGCCCCATCACACCTTTTATTCCTTTCGCAGCAAAAAATGCACGATGAGGAGTGATACTGCCTTCAGGACCTTGTTCTTGCCGACCTGTAATAAATCTGATGCCAGACTCTGCCTGAGCCCCTGTCCTTTCTGTCCCGAGCTCAGAAAACAGCCCTGCCCTGCGTCCGAGCAGTGGTAGCCAAGGTTTCCCACATCTATAAAGGAGGAAGTGAGGGTCTGAGAAGTGAGGCGTCCTCTCGGAAGCATCAGAGCCATGAGTGTCAGTTCTGCTCAGTCAACCAGAGAAGGGACGAGAGGGAGAAACTGTAAAAGTGGAGAAAACAAAGGCACCAGATTCTAGACACTGGGAGACAGAATTTTCATGCCAAAGCTGAAGCCACCCTCCCCCTACTCCACCTCTGAGGCCACGGGGGTTAAAAGTGTCCTGGGACACCACTTCCTCCCAAAGGAATTTCACACTGATGCCAGGAGAGGTGCAAAGCTAGGGATGGACACGCAGATAAAGAGGTTGGAACAGGGCCCATTGTGGTCAGTAGGCCCTTAGAAGTAACCTCGTGTGTCTCTCTCCATGATCCCCAGGGGCAGTCAGCTGGGGCCAAGGACTGACCCCAGCCTCTGTGGCTCAGCTCTTTACCAAGAGGGCAGCCTGAGGCTCTGGAGCCAGCAGACACCAAGTCCAAACCTGAGGACTGCTTGCCTCATTCTTTTTTTTTTTATCCTCACCTGAGGACATTTTTCCATTTTTTGTTCAGATAGAGTGGGAGGGAGAGACAGAGAGAGAGAAACATCGATGTGAAAGGGACACATCCAGTGGCTGCCTCCCGCACGACCCAACCAGGGCCGGGGACAAGCTGCAACCAAGGTACATGCCGAACCTGGGTCTCTCTAGACTGCAGGCCGACACTCTAACCGCTGAGCCAAACTGGCCAGGGCTGCTTGCCTCATTTTGACCTCTCCCACAGACACAGCCGAGCACAGGTGCACAGGCAGGCACACACCATAAATGCACGACTGCTGTCTCTCAGCTCCCACTAGGGACCATCTGGTCTGGGTCACAGAGCTGCTCCGGGAACAGGGCTGGTTCCTGCCCCATGCTGGGTTTTGCAGCCTTCTCACCCCCTCACCTGGCAGCTCGCCTCCTGGATGCCCCTGGCGAAGCCCCTTCTAGCCCTCCTCTGAGGCCTTGACCCCGCCACCCAAGCTCAGCCACCAGTCTTCAGAACGGGCTGTGCATAAAGCCCTGAGAACTGCGAGCAGAGACCAGAGAAACACAAAAACGTTGGTTTCAGCTCCGGTGAGGAGCCAGGACATGAAGCTGGGAGGACAAGAAGCAGGAAGCCAGAGAAGTCAGACCAAGAGGCGCATGGTTATCACCAAGGGGAGCAGAGCACCTCTATCAGAATCCCAGGGTTCGGGCAGGGCTTAGGGCCCGGGGCCTGCATCTGGAAAGAGCACCCAGAAGAAGGAAACATTTCAGGACAGGAGCAAACAAGCATTATAGAGAGAAGACAGCAAGTCAGCCTGGATGAGCTGCTGAGCTAGGCCACCCTGGGCTCTGTGGGGCTAGGCAGGGACAACCTGGCTGCACTGGACTGTCCGGGCTGTGGCAGTGCCTGTTCCCAACTCCCCCTGAGCAGAGCTCTCCCAGTGCACTCACTGTGGGGATTCATGAACACCTTTCAGGAGCCTCCTCCCCAGTCTGAGTGCTAACGGACAGGCCTGCCCGTCCCCTCGGAATCCCTGGGGCCCAGCACAGGGTCCTGCATACAGGAGATGCTCGGGAAACGCTTACTGGGTACTGACAAACTGGGAAGGTGGACTCACTGGTTAGAGGGAGCCGGGATGAAGTTAGACCATGTTTTCTGAGCTATAAGGGGGCTCTGTACAACATCCAGAACACTGGTTGAGTAGTGTAGTCCCAGCTCTGTCACAAATAAGGATGTCACTTCCCCTACCCCAGCCTGTTTTCTCTTATGTGGAATCAGGGCTGACATTTAAGGCCTCTTCCAGTGCCTGCCTTTTGGGAACCTCCGCTCTCATCTGAAGCCACAGGCTGACCTCTCCGCCACGGCCTGCTGGCCAAGTCCTCACCACACCACAAGGGGGAGCTCTACACACACCCCCAGGCAAAGCACCTCATTTCAACCCCCCCCCCACACACACACACACAAATTTGTGTGAGCAGGTGTGGCGGGTGAGCACTCACATTGAGAAGGCTGTTCCTACTCACAGAACTCCAGGTGCCCAGCCACCAGCACCCAGCAAAGTGGACTTGCACACAGACAGCTGTGTTGAAGGATGTCTTCAGCATCTTCAGTCTAGCGCCCTATTTCCTCTTTGCTGGGACCTGGGCCCAGCTCCATGAACACTCCTTGGATTCCCAATATACCTAATTTCTGGGGAAGAAAAAGACTGACCAGTAGGATTTGAATCTTTTAATTTGGAGATGACCAGCTTCCTCTTGCCCACTCCTGGCTCCATAATTCCCCTCTTCAGCCCAGTTTCCTCAGGAGCCAGAACTTAGAGCACCAGGCCCACAAACAAGTCTCTGTGACTTCTCAGGCCAGTCTCCATCTCTGTAGGTCTGGGGTGGGGGACGGTGTTCTAGGAGGCTAGTGAATCCAAGAGAGAGATGTGCCTGGGCTCCAGGGTCCCTTTAATCTGGCTTAGCCCTGGGGTCACTGCTGGTCCCCTGTGAAGATGGAGCCAGGCAGGGAAGGGCGTCAGGCTGGGGCAGCTGGGGCATGGGGTGGAGGGCATCTCCTCTCCCAGAGCACAGACACTCACCCTGAGTGGCCCTGGGCGTGATCTCAGTCCTGTAGATCCTGAAGGCATCGTAGGCAAAGACAGAAACCAGGATGATGCCAAAAACCTGTGGAGCAGGAGTGGGGATGGCACCACAAAGGCCATCCGGTATTAGGGAGTAGGAGGAGGTGGTTGGGGGCAAGGTGTGGATCAGAGCCCCAGGCACTGGCTTGGGCCTGGGAGGGAGGCACCTGCAGCACCAGCTACAGTCCCTGGGGAACCGGAGAGCTCTGGAGCCCTCGACTCACAAAAGCGGCAATGGCAGCTCCATCCCGGGAAGTCACAGCTGCAAAGGAGACCACCAGGAAGATGATGATGGCACTGACACAGCGAAGGAAGTCCTGGGGAGCGGGGGGGTCAGGTTCTGGGTCAAAGGGAAGTCAGAAGGCAGGGGCATCCCCCTGAACTTTTCCAGGCTAGTCAGCACTTGGCCCTCGGGCACTGAATCCCTGCACAAAAATACCCCTGGACTACATAAGGCACTTAAGAGAAAAGAGAGGAGCTCACACACACACACACACACACACACACACACACACGGTCCAGGGAAGGGTTGCAGGTAAATTCAGAGTGACCAGGACAGAAAGCTAGGGGTCTGGGGTACAGCTGACCCAGGTTGAGCGGCGGAGGCCAAGGGGGTGCCAGCCATGGGGGCCAGGGCAGGGCTGGGGCTGGGACTGGACCTCTGATGAGCGGGAGAGCAGATCTAAGGATGTGTGTCCTGCCCTGGCCTGTGTGGCTCAGCTGGGGGGAGGGTCTTCCCGTGCATGAAGGGTCGATCCCTGGTCAGACACATACGGGAGGCAACTGATCTATATTTCTCTCTGACATCGATGTTTGTCTCTCCCTCTCCCTTCCTCTCTCTCTAAAAAGTCAATTAAAAAGAAATGTTAAAAGTTGTGCATCCTCATTGTCAGTGACCCAGCAGCCGTGAATCAGTGTAGGTCAAAGCAGTTTCTGAGTAGAGGGCACAGCTTGGGGCAAAGCCCAGCTGGGGTTGAGGGACCCAGGAAAAGGAGAGAGGCTGGAGTGGAAAGGAAAACTCCACATTCAGCCCTGGCCGGTTTGGCTCAGTGGTTAGACCGTCGGCCTGAGGTCCAGAGAGACCCGGGTTTGGTTCCCGCTAAGGGCATGTACTTCGGTTGCAGTTTGTCCCCGGCCCTGGTTGGGTCGTGTGGGTGGCAGCCACTCGATGTGTCCCTTTCACATCGATGTTTCTCTCTCTCGCTTCCTCTCTCTCCCTCCCGCCCTATCTGAATAAAAAATGGAAAAATGTCCTCGGGTGAGGATTAAAAAAACAACGAAAACTCCACATTCAGAGGAGAAGAAAGGAAACCGAATGGGGTAGGGGCGGCGGGATCCCTCACCAGGCAGGGCCAGTTCAGCCGATCGAAACGCTGGTAGCACTGGGTGGCATAGAGGAAGAGGAAGGCGAGGGTGATGAGGAACTCAAGCAGTGCTGCAGCCATGTAGGCGGAGATGGAGGCCGTGAAGCAGATGAAGATGATGAAGGTCAGGGCCTGTAGGACCAAGTGTGTGGACTTGCCAGGAAGGGGACACAGGTATGGCCTGGCCTTGGTCTCCTCCTCCTCAAGAGTCCCCCCAGGCTGGCCCCTACCACCTGTCCCTGAAGGTCTCCCCATCCCTGGTGGCAGGAACACATTCTAGGGTTTTTGCCCAAGGGCAGCCTCCTTAGCCTCCCACCTCTGCCAGCCCAGGAAGATTCAAATCCTTTAATTTGGGGATGACCAGCTGCCCCTGCCCATCCCAGCAGCCCTGGCAGTTGGGTGTCCTGCTGGGGCCCAGAACAGTGTGAATGCAGCCCCTGGAGTCATGCCTGCTGCAGCCCTGCACCCCAGGAGGCAGCAGGTGCCCCATAATCCTTTCCCCACTCCTGGATGCCTCAGACTCCTCTGACAAGGTCGGAGCCTGTGGCACCATGGCAGGAGACAAGACTTAGAAGACAAAATGCCCCACGGCAGATTCTGGGGCCCCTTCGGCCCTGGCACTGTGGGATGGCTCACAGAAGACTCGCCCTCACACTAAGGCCTTGCTGAGTGACCACAGGAAGGTCCTTTCCTGGGAACAGATGTTCAGGGGGAAGAGACAGATACAACGGGGCTGCAGGAACTCTGCCCTTTTTGATAGCTGGACTTCTTGGACATGCCAAGAAGTGGCCATCTTAGAGCCCCGGAAAGACAGGCTGGTGTTACCCCCATCCTGTCCCTGTGTCTTTCACTCCCTGGATGTCCCAGAAGCTCTCCTGTGTCACTTCACCCTCCTGCCAGAGGCAGAGGCAGCAGGAAGGAGATGAAGGAGAGGCAGCTGGGGGGAGGGGGGGTGCCCAGGAAGCCTGGGGAGGGGGCGGTGGGCAGGGCAGGGCAGGGGGGCCAGGCTAGGAGAGACGTGGAGGTGCCAGGTTGGGGTGGCTGCTGTTACCAGCTCAGTTTCCAGCAAGATGCCTTTGAGGGAGGAGAGGAAGGTCTTGTCCACAGCGAAGCCCTGGAGCCCTGCAGCTGCCCCCTCTTCAGGGGGCCGGTCCCGGCGATCCAGAGCACTGAGCATCTCCACGGGCCCACCAGGCACAGCCCCTCACTGCCAGCAGCCCAGGAAGGGAAAAAGGAAGACGGAAACCTGGCAGGATTGGGAAGCAGACAGGAGAAGGAAGGCAGTTCGAGAAACCTGATAGTGAAGCGTGCAGGCCTGCTGTGGGGTCCTAGGAGAAGGTGGCCGCCCACCGGGAGAGGTCTGCCCAGATGGGCCTTCATCCAGCTGCCCAGAGTGGCCTGCTGGTGCCTGCACCAGCCCCCAGGAGGCACATGGGGAGAGGAGGGGCTGGAGAGGAGTGGCCAACCCTCCCCCGACTTGGAGAAGGAAAGAGGGGGAAGAGGAGGAGGTCTGTGGAGACCAGAAGGAGCTGGGAGTGGAGCCAAGAATTGGGCTGGACTAGGAACCCCCGAAGACCTAAGCTTGAAGAAGTTTGTGTCCCCTCCCCTAACCTTAACCCTCTTCCTTGACCCATCTTTCCTCCCTTTTACTTTTAGGGAAAGTGGGAGCTGGAGCCCGGCCAGGCAGCACCCCCAGGACCCAGCTGTAGCAGCCAAGATGAAGGACAAAGGCAGATTGTCGAGGGGACAAGGGGGCGCTGTGTTCTTGCTGCAGTGCCTCAATGGGCCTCTGTCTCTCCAGTATGCCAGGGGAGTGGCCTGACCCCCACCCGGTGTTCAGGGGTGGACCAGGGAGCCAGAGGGATGGGAGGCCACAGCGGAAACTCTGGAAAGAGCAGTAGGTGAGGGCTGATCATGGGGAGGACAGGGACTGGACTGGGAACCACAAGATGTTCAGGCACCAGGATGCCAAAGACAAATTAAGCCACTTTTAAATACAGATTATTTATTTGGATAAGTCTCTCTATGATCAATAACAGTCCATTTCTCAGAGTCACCCATGTCAGAAGACTAGTAACATGCCCACTGAGTGCTTGATGAATGAATGAATGAAAATAATGATGAATAAATGAATGAATGAACAAATAAATGAAATGAGGGGTTCTTTGCTGGCAAGGGGGAAAATATCAAGAAAGTGCCTGTGCTTCGAGAGGGCAGCTGGGGATGGGAGGGAAGGAAGGGACAGAGCTTTATGAGAGGAAATGCCCAGGTGCCAGCTTCCAGCAGCCACCGCAGTTGCTGCTCTCATGGCTTCACCTGCATCTCCCTTCCACTCCAAAAAGTGCACAGTGTGTTCTCCTCTAAAGTCCCCATCCTGTCCCACGATCCTGCTGCTCCAGGTGATGCTGTGGAGGGGCTGAGCACTCAGGCATCCCGGCTCACTGTAGTAAATGGTTGTACACCCAGCTCCGGTGTTCTGACCGGGGACCAGCGTGGGCAGCATGACTAGGCCATCACTCGGGGCCGCACACACACGCAAGCCAAGGAGACACGGTAGAGCCTACGTTCCAGGCAGTAGCCGTTATGGGCGCCCTGTTCTCCAGGGCACGGCCGGCGGTAGAAGACGGTCTGGTTGTGGTAGAGCAGCTCCGAGTTGCCCAGGGGGTCGACGTGAGAGCCTGTCTGTAGGCTGACGCAGTGTGGACACAGGCAACGGGCGTGGTACAGGTCCTGGGGGAGCCGGTTCAAGTCCCTGTCCAACCTGTGGGGGTGGCACTTGTCAGTCAGGCCCTGAGGGAAGCTGGCTGGGCAGGCAGGGCCTGGGTCAGAAGCAGGAAAGGCCCAGGGTGGGTGGAAATTCCAGAGGACGGAAATGGTGTGGTCAGGAGGCCTGACTTCTTGACCTAGCCCTGGCACCCACGTGTTGGGTGACTTTGAACAAATCACCCCCTCGTCTCTGGGACTTTTTCCCCAACTGCGAGGGTCAAGTGGTTTTCCAACCCTCCTCCAGACCAGCTCCACTTCCATCTGATAGTCTGAGGTTTCTCTTTGTAATTGGTATTATATTTTAGGGCATTTTTAATTATAAAAGTAAAAAATATCCTTATATTAAAAAATATATAATGAGAGCTAGTAGTCTTATGTCCCCACCAGTCCCACTCCCCAGAGGGCGCCACTATCAACCATTTCCTGCACTTCCTCTGGACACTGACTGTGCATATATCACATCATACGCACATGTTCCAGTGCATGATGAGACTTATTTATTCTGAAAGGATCCTATGGTCAAAAAAAGGTGAAAAGGCCCTGGCCGGTTTGGCTCAACGGTTAGAGACTCGGCCTGCGGTCCAGAGAGACCTGGGTTCGGTTCCCGCTAAGGGCATGTACCTTGGTTGCAATTTGTCCCCGGCCCTGGTTGGGTTGTGCAGCTGGCAACCACTCGATGTGTCCCTTTTACGTTGATCTCTCTCTCTCTTTCCCTCCCTCCCTCCCTCCCTCCCTCCCTCCCACTCTATCTGAACAAAATATCAAAAAATGTCCTCGGGTGAGGATAAAAAAAAAAAAGGTGAAAAGTCAGTGCTGCATAGGTCTGGGACGCAGAAGCCTAGCAGGAAGTAGCTGCTAGGTTGTAAGGCCATTCTCCATGCACACAAACCCTCAGAAGCTGGGGCTCAGCTAGTACAGCATTTTCCAAAGTGAGTTCCCTCTTAAGTACATTGCAAGAGAAGGGGTCTATGGCCAGATGAGTGCAACGGTTTCTTTTCTGCGAACTTCTTACAGACTTTAATGTGCTAAGCACACTGAGTCTCCACGGGGGTCAGGGCTAGAGCAGCTTTACCCGTTTGTTTGACATCATCACTTTTTTTCTGAAGAGCAGCTTGTGGGATGAGTGTTAAAAAGAACCCACTTTGGCCTGGCTGGTGTGGCTCAGTGGTTGAGCGTCCACCCATGAACCAAGAAGTCGCACGTTCAATTCCCAGTCAGGGCACATGCCCAGGTTGTGGGCCCAATCCCCAGTGAGGAGCATGCAGAAGGCAGCCAATCGATGTTCTCTCTCATCGATGTTTCTATCTCTCTCTCCCTCTCCCGTCCTCTCTCTAAAAATCAATAAAGAAAAACAATTTTTTTTTTTTAAAGAAAATAACCCACTTTGAGGAAGACCACCTGAGTGGTTATCATTATCAGGGGCTCACAGCTCCCAACGACGGGTCTGGACCCCAGCCGAGTTAGCCATCTGATCCCCAGCGTTCCCAGGACCGGCCAGCCTTCTGAGACCACTTCAAAGCATCGTGACCAGGAGTCTCCACCCTAGAGCTAGTCTCAATCAGAGCCAACCCCGTCCCTACCCACTGAACTTCTCCATCCATCCCCAAAGCCAAGGTTAAGCTAGACTAGACTTACGAGGAGTGGGAACACAGACACCCCGTGAGGATAAGACAGAAGGAGAAACATGCTTGGGATCCCTAAGGCCTAATCATCAGTATTTTGTTTCATTGTCCCTATTTCAGTGCTTCCTAAAATTTTTCACATCGTGGCACAAGTAGAGAATTATAATATTCATGTGGCACACTGAGAGAAAGAAGGACTAAGACTGCTCATGAGCCAAGGTAAGCAGCCTGGTGCTCCAGCCCCCCAGCTGCCCCCTGAATAAAGGGTTTCGTTATCCCGGTATATTGATCACCCACTCAAGTCCCAGGGTAGAGCATCTGGTATTGGGATGCTTTGTATCTGTATCATACCATGATTCCCTAATGTCCTAGTTAGAAAAGCATGGCCATTGTAGAGATGGAGGAGGAGGAGAAAACCAATATTTTATATACTAAATCTAGGTTTTACAGACACTATTTCATATGATCTGCACATAAGCCTATGCAGTATTATCTCATTTTACAGAAGAAAAGTAACCTGAGCTTTGAAACCTTAAGTAATTGGCCCAGGGTCACCCAATAAGAGTCCAAGCTATGACCCAGACCAGACCTAACACCCCAAAATGTGTGGCCTCTGAGATAAAAAGGAGCAGGTGGGTTGGAACTGGGTAGAACTCCCTTGGCCCCTTGGACACGCCCTGCCTGGTACATATGCAGGCCTTTGGGAGGGGACAGCAGACTCACTCATATCTCCAGGGGGAGATGGACCTGCTGTTGAGGGGTCCGTCTTCGCTGGCCCTGCAGGATCCTGTGTGGTGTGTGTGGCCACCAATCTCTCGGGGAGGCAGGAGCACAGTGTTCAACTTCAGCAGGTCTTCAGTGGAGTCCTGTCCTTTGATGGGGAAGCAGCTGGGCCAGTGGCTGCAGTCCTTAGGCGGAACACTGAGGGTGTGGGTTCCCATGACTATTGCTAAGAAGGCAATCACCTGTAGGAAAAGGCCCGTGAGAGAACTGCTCCCATCTAGTCTGGGTGCCCCTGTCCCGGCTGTCCCCTGAGATCTTGGTTGCTAGCTCCACCTGACTCCCAGCCCCAAACCTTGGAGCCCAGCCTTCTCCACACACAGCAACATCCCTGCTGCTTTCCCACTTGGCGCCATCCCCACAGCGCCTCTGCACACTCACCTGGTTCATGCCGGATGCCAGATGCCGCTCGCCCAGCAGTGCTGCACAGACTGACAGGCAGGGAGGGCCCTGTGGAAGTAGGCTGGCTGGAGCAGTTTGGGAGTCCTGGTTTTATTTTCAGCAAACCTGTTTTGTTTATTCAAATTAATTTCCACTACCTTTTGGAGGGAGTAACCTGAGATTAAAAAACAGAACAGAACAAAACAAAACAAAACAAAACAAAAAAAAAAACCTGACAGTGTTTCCAAAGCTGCTTAAAATGCTCTGCTCATGGAAGTTGTGATGAACATAATTGTAAGCCTGGAAACCTATTGGGTAAACTTTGTTCTTGCATGGGGTCAAAGCAATGGTGTTCTGCTACTCAGACTTTGAAAACTGGCATTATGGGAATTTCCCTGGTTGGCTTCGTATCCAAAATTAGGAAACATCATCCAGCCTCTCTTCAGGAGGTCTCCTTCCATGGTTCTCTCACTCAGGGTCTTGTCTCCACTTTCTTCTCAGAAGTCTTCCTGATCACCCACCCTAGTGAACATTTCCACTCTATCTCCTGTGACCATCTACCCTTCTGTTCTCTGACCCCTTCCTTATCGTCAATGACCCCAACTTCTATAACCCCCATCATCTATGACTCCTCCCCATTGTCCATGACCTGCTCCCTAACTTAACTTCGCCCTCTCTGGTGGCCACCCAAACCCCCATCGCCCCCAACCTCCCCTCTGTCCCTGAGATCCCTCAGGACTACAGAAAGACCCCCATTCCGTCAGTTGGTTGGCTGGATGTGCAGGGTCTGATGGAAGAAACTGTGGTGACTGTTCCCATTGCACAAATTAGAAGGTAAAACCAAGAAGAGGAGGGGCCTGGTAACTGCCTCACCTAAGACCCATCAAGAGATCCCAGTTCCAGGTACCAGCCTGTCCCCACACCCAATCACAGGGCCTTGGGGATAAGGTCATGAAAGGGGTGGCTGCTGCTATCAGGCCATGAGATGAGCCCACCCAGCCTCAGAGCCCCCAGCTGCATGGGCCACTGTCAGCTGGGGCGGAGTGGGGGGAGTTGTGTGCTTCACAATGGCTCCAGCTGGGCCTGACCCCAAAGACACAGGTCAGCCAGGGACCACCCAGCCTGAGAGGCACTGTGCTGAGAGCAGGCCAGAGCCCACTTCCCATCAGGCCTTCATCGTTGCCCATTGGGCCCCTTAAGCCTCACACCCACAAGTCCCCCTCCCCACACCCTTACACACACCATATATTGACATTGTGTCTGATGTTTCCTGATTTGCATGTGTTTTCCCTTAGAAAATACTCTTCTCGTAACCAAGGACACGGAATAAATAAAGAGAACCAGGAATAATTTTAACTGTAGAGTGAGGAGGAATCCTTCAAATGCTTTAAAGTGTGGTTTTCAACCTCTTTTATCTCATGGCACACACAAACCAATGACTAAAATTCTGTGGCACACCAAAAACTGTATTTTTTGCCAATCTGACAAAAATAAAACAGATATCGCCCCTGGCCAGTTGCTCAGTGGTTAGAGCGTCAGCCTACGGGTTCGGTTTATGCTAAGGTCACGTACCTGGGTTGCAGGTTGTCCCTGGTCCCGGTTTGGGTCGTGTGGGTGGCAACCACTCGATGCGTCTCTCTCACATTGATGTTTTTCTCACTTCCTCCTCTCCCTCCCGCTCTATCTGAAGATAAATGCAAAAAAAAAAAAAAAGGATCCTCAGGTGAGAATAAAAATAAATTAAATAAAATAAAACAGGTATCATTTTGATTCATTCACATCTGACAGCTATTGTGCTGGCTGTTATCATTTTTGTGACAGCCTAAGGGAAAAGAGGTAGGTGCCCCTGACTAAATAGTCTGGTATTGCACATTTTTAAAATTCTTGTGGCACACCAGTTGAAAATCGTTGCTTTAGGGCAAAGCAGCCCCAGAGCATAGTAGTAATGAGGTCAGGGGGCATTCTGGGGGGCTGGGGGACGCTGCTGTGGTGAGGGCCCTGGAACTGGGGGTGGGGCTGTGCAGGGGAAACAAGCCGGTGGCTGGGAGAGCCGGCGCTGAGGAGAAGCACAGTGCCAGGAGTACAGCCCCTGCTCTGTCCTGCTCTCCACCCTGTGCTCCCGACGACCGAGGCTCTCTCGCTTCCACACTCTGCCGGCCTCTCAGCTCTGTGTCCTGTGCCAGGATGGTGCCAAGGCCTGTGGTGCATCAGCTCATTTTACCTTCCAATAAAACCACGTGGTGAAAGTTGTTATCCCTATTGTCTCCTTAAGAAACTGAGCCCTGGCCAGTTTGGCTCAGAGGTTAGAGCATCGGCCTGAGGACCAAAGGGTCGTGGGTTCGATTTCCAGTCAAGAGCATGTACCTGGGTATCTGGGTTGCAGGTTCCATCTCCCCCGCTCCCCCAATCAGGGTTGTGTGGGAGGCAACCAGTGGTGTCTCTCTCACATCATGTTTCTCTCTTTCTCTCTCCCCCCTCCTTCCTTCCACTCTGTCTAAAAATCAATGGAAAAATACCTTAGAGTGAGAATTAACAACAGCAACAACAAAAAAAAGAGGAAACTGAGACCCAAAGAAATTTAGAAACCTCCTCAAGGTCATACAGTTAGGAAGGGGTGAATCTGGTTTTCCACTACAGCCCTGACCAACTCCAGATCTAATCTTCTGGCTTGGAGGTGCCACCCTGTGCTGCCCCAGATTGCAGGGAAGGGGAGTCCCTGCAGTAAGTGCTTTTCCACTCACCTGGGCTTGGGGCGGAACAGGTCTCACCTCAACCTGTCTGAGGTCACAGGGCATTCCAGCCCACTCAGGATTCAGCTCTGTGGGCTGGGACCCCCTGTGCTGCTCCTGTTCCCCAGCCTTTGTTCTGGCACGAGGCCCCAGGGTGGCTCTTGGTGTTCCTGAGCAGCCTCCAACCCCAGAAAAGTCCCTGAGAGGGTGCTGCTCTTGCAGAAGACCTGAATTCTTACGCGTCTCCCCCAAATCAGTCAGAGCCTCAGAGCCTGACATTGGCCCAGACCTCCTGATCTTGCCCACCCCACCCCACCCCACACCCTCTCAGGTCCAGAAGGGGGTGCTCAGAAGAGCTGGAAGTGATCCTAGCTACTTATTACTTGCTGATGCTGCAAAAAACCCACTTTGGTTGCCCAGGACATTGACCTTCAGGAGAGGTCTTTGGGGTGTCCTCTGCCTCTGTAGCAGGACTTCCTCTGAGGAAACCCCTGAAAGGCAGGGAGGAAGGGTCCCTCCACCCAGAGTCTCCTCCAGGGACGATCTGGCCTGACAGAGAACATGTGCTCTGAGCCACGTGTCCCCACCCCGCCCACCCGTTTGCTCAGCCTCAGCCCTTATCTCAGCAGCATCTCTGTGGGACACCTTAGGGTAACTCCCTGATATGAGAAACATTTTCCAGAGGGTTTTCCTCCTGGGATGACTAGTTTGGGAATCCCTGAGTCACTTCAGCTTCCAGGGAATCCTTGAGGGTGTGGGGAGATGAGTGTGGCAATGGGGAGAATGCTAGGGGTGGGAGCAAAGAAAAGTTCACCAAGCACCTGAAATCAAGGGTGCCTCCCAGTGTGTCCTCACCTGCCTGGGCCTGACCTGGCACCCGGAGGGGACCTGCTGGGAGATCCACCCTGTGCCCCTGGGAAGAGAGATTAGCACCTAGCAGGAAAGGCAGGGAAGGTGTGATGGAATACACCCCCACCCTCGGCCAAGAAAGGCTCCTGGGCTTGCAGAAAGCTAGAATATGGCTGTCCTGCCCTTTCTCAAACACATTCAAGTCCTCATCTGCTAGCTTGAAGTCCTGACCCTGTCTCTGATCAGCTCTTGACCTCGGACCTTCTCTGGTCTTTTTTCCTTATTTGTAGAAGTATGTGTGTGTTGGGAGTGGGGTAGGGCCATTTTAACCTGGATGGCCACGAAAGCCCCAGCCAGCTTAGCTGCTCTGACCTCAGCTCCTGAAACCACGGGACTCCCAGCATTTATTGAAACTCACCCACACTCACCTGATGTGATGCGGGGGCATTGGTGGTTAAAAAGTTAAATACCTCTGCCCCTGAAGGTAAATAGATTATATCCTCAGCCCCAGGGTGCCCCTACCTATCACAACCTCTCTGTGGTTTGGTAACTAAAAGCCTGGCTCAGATAAGGACTCCAGAACACTGCTGCATTGTGGGGATGGGGGGTTGGTGGATAGGTGATTTGTAACCTTGTGATATGCATTCTCACAAGCTGGCCAGCCTAGGGTCAAAGTGTGTGTGTGGACAGACAAGTTTGACTTGGAGGGCAGGAAAACCGCCTTGGGCGCATATGGATGCTTTGTTCGCATGTGAATAAGATAAGGTTTGCATGACAGAGTTGGAAGACCACTCAGTGAGGATAATGAGCAGTAGGCCCAGGCGTGGCTGGGTTTGTTATTTTTTAGCTTTAAAGTCTCTTTCCATCGTAAAGAGCCAGAGACAAGGCTAGGCTGTATGGTTTGCAGAGACACCATCTCAAGGAAATAATTTACATAAATCACTTATAACCTGGGGGAACCAATCTGCAAATAAATGGGACTGCGTCCAAAGATCTGGAGCGTTTGCTCCATTGCAAAGCTCCCTCTCATTCCAACCAGCGTGTGCTTGTAGTTCATTGCGTTGCACCGATCCCAGCAGGCCAAGAGACGGCATTGCATGTACTGATATGTGATAATGGTACTGGTTGCTAATTATTTGTAGTGTCACCTTAAGTTACAAAGATGCTTAGGCCCTGGCCTGTTTGGCTTAGCAGTTAGAGTGTCAGCCCAAGGACCAGAGAGGACGGGGTTCAGTTCCTGCTAAGGGTACATACCTCGGATGCAGTTGCCCCTGGCTCTAGTTGGGGCTGTGTGGGTGGCAACCAGTCAATGTGTCTCTCTCACATCAATGTTTCTCTTTCTCTCTTCCCCCCTCCCTCCTTGCTCTATCTGAAGATAAATGCAAAAAATGTCCTCGGGTGAGGATTTAAAAAATCAAAAATAGCCCTGGC